TGATTGGCTGTTTGGCATGTGACAATCATTCAACATTTGTGTAACTATTTTCCATATTTGGGACGTTCTTACCTGTTGGAAAACACACTGTATTTTCCGTGTTTTCTAAAACACGGAATGGCATTTTCCGTGTTTCAAAATACGGTGTGTTTTCCTGTTCAAAAACACGGAAAGTGTACATTTTACGTATTTTTTACACATTTTTGCGTATGTTTCCGTGTTCAGCTTCCATAAATTTTTTTCATAGGGCTTATGATAAGTTTATTTTAGGCAAATTTGCCTAAATACTAAAAAAATATTTACAATTTTAACTAAAATTAAAAATAAAAATCCATCCAGTAATTAAAATATATAATAAAAATTTTCAAATTTGGCTCAGTCACGAAAACCAATACAATTTAATTTTAAATAGCGATAGGAAATTAAATTAGACCTTATATAAAGTTTTTTTTTCAATTCTCATTACGGCAACATTTTCAAAAATTTTATATATATAAAAAAATTTTTTTTTTTATAGTATTCAAAAATCCTACCCAGATAGTAAGTATAGTTCGGCGAGTTATGAGAACCAATTATTAAGTTGTATGCTTAAATATATATATATATAAGCTTTCTATTGCACACTTAAACTCACTTATCAATTTCAAAGACCTCGAAACATGAAGTTTAGGCGTCTGTAATCTATTTTGTTATTACTTCAACCTTTTCTCTCAGCTACACATTTATAAGTAGGAATTTTAATGCTTACATTTATTACACATTAGCTTAAAAACTGTTTCTAAGAACATCTAGGTAGATTAAATCTGAGATAAAGCTTCGTTTGTGAAAAGTATTCTATACTATAGTATTATCATCATAAGTAGCGGTTACATTTTAAAGAAAAAATAAAAAAATTAACAATCAATATAGTCATCCTAAGAGTAAGTCGATCCATAAGATATAGATTAATTGGATTATATAGTTGAACTGTTTTCATTTGCATTTCTTATATAATGATAAATTAATAAATTATTATTATATTTCTATACATTATTTGGAATACGCTGCTTCCAATCAAATCTATTATTATTGAAAAAAGTTACGGAGTCATTATTGTTAACTAAATATCTATTAATAGCTGTAGTGTTTAAAAAATTTGATTAAATAAGAAAAAATTAAATATTAATTTATATTAATTTATATTAATTTATATTAATAATTATAATATCTTATTTTTCTTCACTTTCGGATATCTTTGTTTTTCTTCTGAATAATTAATTCCATGAAATCACGGTAGGCGTCATGGCTTACAAAAATTTTCTATAAAAAAAAAAAAAATTATTTCTCATAGTCGCCCAGATATTTAATTATTTATGAAGGGAGGATAAATCATCGTGAAAAGCAGCATTCTTTTTTCCTTCAATGCTATCTAAGGCGTCATCAATAGTTGGTCTTCAAGGTCAGAGTTATATCTGATCGCAATCCTTGAACAAGAATCAAATTGATACTTTATTGTTAAAAACAATAAAGATAACGTGCAACCAATTGAAACTTAGTTGTTAAACAATATTGTCCAATAAAGGATTTATAGAGAGACTTGGTCCAAAAATTGATCCTGGATCCTGACAGACCTTTGTAAGAATCGATCCATTAACAGGGCTTTCTTTAATATTTCTTAGTATAGAAGTTGAAGTGCCTTTCTTGTTTCCTGAATCTCCACAAAATTCACTTTTCTTTTGTTTGCAGTATCCATATTAACAAGTGATCTCATACATGTGAGATTTCTTTAAAAAAAAAAATTAGTGATTAAAAACTAAATAAATAATTAAAAGCAAAAAATGGTTAATGTTATTTACCACTGTTATTATATATATTATATAGTACTTCAATAACTATATTAATGTTGGTTTGGTGGTTCATCCCTAAATGATATTGTGAAAAGATAAAAATTATTATTATCTGCTTAATTATGCCCAATAAATGAAGAGATATATAGTAAAAGAATGAAATAATATCCAGAGGCATTATTTTAAATAATGCCTTAAATTAAGCTTAATTTAGGCCAAAATTTGAAATTACAACCCTGCGTGTTATTTTCACACTTATACAACATACTACACACCATAGAATACAATTATAGTATCTGAATTTAGAACTCCTTGTATTAAATAATCTCCACTTCATATTTACTGGGGACTATATTTGTGTTAAGTTAGATATAAAAAAGAAAAGGTTGAGCTTAATCTACTACTATCAAATAAAACCATTTTACCAAGAAATAAACAAATGATATTATACTAAAAAGGAATTGTTTGCAATGAGTTCAGTTTGGTCATCATTGCCATTAAAAGAGATGTTGCTTCAACCTTTGACTATGACGTTTGTGTAAATAATCTATATAACTTGTGCACCTGTTATATGTATGCGATTTATATAAATTTTCTGCTGCATTTGCAAGATTTTTGGCGTCAGCCTATTGAATAAATTAGTTTTAATATGTACATATGCACATTTTAACATACAAGTTTCTTGAATTTCTTTATACATAATGAGCATTTCAATTTTCATAAATCTATGGCTTTTTCTTCATTTAAATTCAATATTTCTGTTTTTAAAATAGAATATAATCCCGCTTGAAATGTTCAATATAAGGGTAATCTAATAACTAAAAATGATAACATTGTAAATGCAGCTAAGATAATCATAGCAAATAGATTTAACAAAAATGAGTTTCTTGTAAAACGAATCTCACTGTATAAATTATAAGTGGTCGTTACTCATCATTAGCTGTATGAAGTCCAAATAAATAACCTGTCACATATATAGAAATATAATGAATCCATATACTGGCAAGAGTTTGTTGCAATGAATCTATTAGGAGGTTCACAGTAAAGACTGGACTCGTTTCAACTTGTGATAAGCTCAGAAGAGTATTCAAATCAATTTATTCAAATTTATTCTTACAAAAATTTAATTTATACACGTAAAAGCAGATAGGATATCAGGCTCGATCTCTGAAAAAAAAAAAAAAATCTAATCAATGACATTAGTTTTCTAATCGTTTCAGTCTGATTAGATTTTTCAAAGGGCTGAGTTTGATAAATAATTAACTTTATATTCTGAAATCCGGATTTCCGTTATCGTTACGCACTCATATATCATACTACTGTATGATTTAAAATTATTTGACTCGCAAATCTCACGAATTATGATTCAAATCGTAATAAACTCGAATTATTCAAGTCACGAGTTGACGAGTCAATCACTAGTTCACAACATAAACTATAAGAGGCCCTAGCAGATATTATGTGTCACTCTTCCAATACACTGGTAAGAATTTGTTGCAACGAATCTACTAGGAGACTCACAATATAAACTATAAGGGGTTTTTGCGGGCGTTATGCGTCCCTCTTCCAAACATCAGCCGCAAGAGTCCCGGCATGCACAGATTTTAGGTATATCGTGTGATTCTAGAGCAATTAAGAAAAAAAAAAAGGCAACCATGGCTTATTTTATGAGAGCAAAACGAATAACAAAAAAAATTTATTAGCAGTTTTAAAATATAAAATATGTACTGTAATTTGTTTACATACTCGTAATATCGATCATATGCGGATCTGCATTACCTAACAATAGAATTACAGCCGTTTTTGACGGAGGTGCCGAGTTGGAATCGGAATCAATAAGTAACTGACTTCGGCCGAACTCAGAAACATATCAATTCGTTCATCGGCAATTTTTTTTATTTGTTATGAAAACAGCTGTAAAGAACCGGGATCGAACCGAAAAAATAGGTACAAATAAGACCCGAAACCGAGAAAATTCGAAACCAACCCGAAAGAACCGAATCTAATGCGTTATTTTATTTCGGTTCGAGTCTAACTAGAGATCAGAAACCGGTCGATTTACAGCTGTTTCATAAATTCTGGGACAACTGATAAAAATTGATCAGCCGAATTCGATAAGTTTTTGAATTCGCCGAAATCAAATTCCGATAACACCGAATTCAAAACTTATCGAATTCGGCCGAAATAATGTTTATCAGTTGTCCCAGAATTTATGAAAATAGCTGTAAAATTAGTAGAAACCGAAACGATCTGAATGAATCGGTTCCTGATACATAGAAATCTGTGACGTTTTTCGTAAATCCTAGAATATCTGAAAAATTGTTTTGATTTCGGTCGACGTCAGTAACTTGAATTTTTTTTTTTCGGCTCAGTAACTTTATTTTTTCTTTTTCCCCTAGGTAATAGCAAAAAATTTTTATATATCGATATAAAAATTTACTTAAAAAGCCGATCGGCTCGCCGGGTCAATTTTAAAATCCCCCAAAAAATTATATATATATAATATTATAAATATTAAAGACGACTTTAATTTAAATAAAGATATAAAGATTTTTATACTTCTAACTTAGCATAAAATTTCTTTAGCACATTAGATCATATGAAATCATTCACCGCATAATCAGTGAATTTCGATCATGAGTATGATGTTTGAGATGAATTAAAATGTTTAATAAATAACGTAAAAGTTTAAAAATATTAATTTATATAAAAGAGTTGTAATCTTTAATTTTTTTTGCAACAAATTATGAAGTGAACAATTTTGATCACATTAAAGAAAATAAATAATCGGGTATTAAAATGTCTTTAATGATTAAATAGTTTTTAATTATATTGTAAAACTTTCTCCACACCCACAACTCTCTTTAGCGTTTGGATTTTTAAAAACAAATTTAGAAGATAATTTATCTTCTAAATAGTCCATCTCAGAACCTAGCATTTTTAAAAGGGATTTTGATTCTATTAGGACAGTAACACCTATTAACGGAAAAGATTCAGATTAATATTAGTATATCCTTATTAAAATTAATGAATAATCAACTATTAAGCGATTCAAAAGTTTAACCGTTCACAACATATAAAAGTGAAGAATTTACCGTCTTGTTTGATCACTTCGTCAAACTTCCCCTTTTCTTTAGCATATTCCAAGACATATGATAATCCAGCACAGCCTTTGTTTTTTACAGCTACACGAATCAATTTCGGTTCAGGCCCTTCAACAATTTCACGGAGCTTACTTACTGCCGCTGGAGTCTTAATTACAACAAAATGAATTCTTTCGGTCAAAATTTTAAAAGGATTTAAAAATAATATAATAGATTGAGAGAAGATCTACTTACCAAAGTCATTGCTGCCCTTTGTAAGCGAGGTCTTTTAGCTAAAGAAGTAGCTGCTCTAACTACTGTCGCTGACATTTTGAAAAAAATAAGAATTACATAACTGTATTATTAATAATATTTACAGTATATATAAAATTTTAACCTTTAAAATAACACCAAATAAAAAAATGACTCCAAATATGGGAATACTATTCAACAAACTCCAGCCAATCAGAATCCAGATTAAAAAAAAATTTAAAGACATCTGACAGATCGAGTTTTGTTACGTAAATCTTGTTCCTGTAATAATGGTCATTATTAACAATGATAACAATCCAAATTAAAAAAAAAAAAAAGATAACGTTCTAACACTATTATTTCTTCTTTAAATAACAGCCGAACAACAAGAAGAAAACCTT